GTTCTCTTTACACTAGTCTTCGGGTTCCATTGGGCTGTGGGAAATAAGGTGCTGTCCCCCAGCCACAGTTCCAGGAGATGGTGACTTCATGGTCTGCTTTTAGTGTTATACAGTGGGATCTGATGTGACTTGTATTCCTCTTCTGAGGTTCTCTAAGTTCTGACGTTATTTCTAGTTGTATTTGGAGTTGGAAATAGTTATTTGAGAAGCAGTAAGCTCACATGGCCTATGTAGGACATGAGCTGTTTATCTGCATGGTTGAGTGTAGGAATATGCTCTCTAAAAACTCCAAGTGAAATCAGTCTGTTAACTGTGAACACTGTAGCTTCATGATGAAACTGTTCCAGTCAAGTTTTGTCTCCTTGGTTCTATCTGTAAGCTTTGTCAAATACGGTCAATTATGGTTGTGGCTGCCAAAGGGAGCCAGGGTTTTGACAGCTCTCAGTGAACATCCTGGAGCCCTGGGTGGTTTGATGTTGTAAGCATTTATGGAAAGTTGTTCGGCACTCTGACTCCTACAGCAAAACCCAACAAAACCCACAAAACTCTGCTCTACACTAGGCTGTGACAGGGGCACCTGTTCAATCCTGCATGGGGGCACATTAGCGGGTCCATCAGCAGTGAGGCAGCAGCTATGGACTTCCTGCTCGTCCTGAGGAAGTTCTGGAAGGTCACATGACTTCCACGTGGAGGATCTCCAGGCGTTATTGGTGATATTGTATGTGTTTGTTGAATGTGAGATCAGCTTAAGCTTTTGTGAAGAATAAATTAAGTGGGGAAAATTATTCTTTGGTTTCTGCAAGAAAGAGATGCCAAAAGACTCAGTGACTTACCCAGCCCAGCTCCATAACTGCTTTGTTCTTAAGGCATCTGTGGTGCCATTTGCAACTTAGTGTTTCGTATCCTTGGTGAGGTTGGCACGTTGGCGACATAGGACACCATAAAAAAGGGATCCACGGAACAAGCATATGGAAGCATCAGATGAACAGAATGTGTTCTGTGTTCTATGTGCAGAATTGTCAGTATCAATGGATATACATGCATGCATACATACATACTGAAAATTAACCCCATCATGGATCACTCAGGAAGAAAAAAGATGAAGCCTGGGAAGGCTCACTGACTGCATGGCCATGTGTCTCTTGGCATTTGAACTCCTTAAAGGGCCTAGTTAAAGAATGCCTTCCTTTCTCTCTGATGAATGGAAGAATGCTCATTACTAAGAAGCTTACATAAGGAAAACAGAAAGAATGGGGAGAAACTCTCCTTGGATTTCAGTATGCTGGTGTGTTTCCTTCTGTATATTTTGACTTTGTAATAAAAAACGGGGCTCGGGCTGGAGAGATGGCTCAGAGGTTAAGAGCACTGCTTGCTCTTCCAAAGGTCCTGAGTTCAATTCCCAGCAACCACATGGTGGCTCACAACCATCCATAATGAGATCTGGCGCCCCCTTCTGGCCTGCAGGGATATGTGCAGACAGAACACTGTATACATAAAATAAATAAATCTTTTTAAAAAAAAAACAAAAAAACAACGGGACTCTCTTTTGCTCCTTGAGGTGAGACTCAGGTCAGTGTCTTCCCATCCTGCACAGAAGCTTCTACCTGTGTCCCTCCCTCCTCTGGCACTCTGGCAGTATCTTTTATATATCATGTTAAATACTGTGACAAATAGCCTGGTGTTTAATATGTATCCCAGCATGTAGTAAATACTGTGTGAGTCCAGGGTGTGGGAGGATTCTGTTAGGAGACAGTGACCAAGCTGAGTGAGGCTGCGTGTACAGGGGTCTTCCTGCAGGGTTCAGGGACAGCATTTTGACCGGCTGCATGTGGGTCTGGTGTAGTTGCAGGACCCTGGCATCCAGCCAGGGCTCTGATGTGCCCTCTACCATCTTCTCAGCCTCGAGCAGGCCCTTGAGGCTCCTGGCTGCTGGTTCTCTTTCTGGAAGGTGGGATCAATACACATGCCTCCCAGAGCTTTCGTCAGGAAACTCACAGAGAGCATGGGAAAGATTTATTCTGATATGAAGTCACTGGTGACTGAGACAGTGGTGCTGCTGAGGTGTGTGTCACCATGGTTAGGAAAGAGCTTGTTTCTCTTTTCTCACTTGAAACCAAGGCCTCAGTGAATAGAATGGCATTTATTCCCATTGTACCACTAGCTGGGGCATCATAATTATTAATTTATTTTTGCACTGCTAAGTATTGAACCTAGGGTCTTGTGGATGATAGGCAGTCACTCTAACACTGAGCTACACCTCCAGCCCCAGTAGGAATTTTCTTAACAATAGTAATTCAGACTACAAAATAAACCAGCCCTTGGTAGAACAGTATTGTTAATGTTTGGAAATGATCCAACACTGTCATCTTTTGACCATAAAGTGTCAAGACTTACCCAACTCAAGGAGGGTTCACCGTGCTATGGTCTCCAGCTGATGTCTTGCTGCAGCCTGGACAAGGGCTGCTCCTGAGTCTGACAGTGTCCTGCTTATCTGTTTCAGGTGGCTGAGATGCATGGGGAGCTGATTGAGTTCAACGAGCGTCTACATCGGGCCCTGGTGGCCAAGGAAGCCCTGGTGTCCCAGATGAGGCAGGAGCTGATTGACCTCCGAGGCCCTGTAAGTGCTTCCCACCAGCAACCAGGTCCTAGCCCTGCCATCTGCCTCTGCCCACCCTCACTATGGGCATCAGGCCTCTGTGACCCGCAGTCTCACTGCTGGGTCAGTTCATTCCTGATGGTGGCAATGGCCTAGGAAAATGAACGAACTGAAAGAGTACCCATCTTGTGCCACCATGTTGCGTGTACCTCCATTAGCCGCTCCGTGTCTATTTTTGTTGGGCAGGAGAATGTCATGTCATTCACAGCAGCCACGTCCCATGTGCTGTGTTCTAAACTGACTTAGAGCTTCCCTCTGTGTGTCTATGCTCTGCCATGCAGACAGATTTCCAGTCAGAGAGCAGGGTCGGCTTTGTGCTCTTAACTCGTTCCCATGTGGTCTGCCGGTATGGAGCTTCTCATTGCTTGCCTTTGCTTGCTTTTGTTTGGCAGTTTGGTTTGAGGAGCATCCTGCATAGGCTGAGTTATAGGGCTTTCCACCCACTCTGTTGATGTTCTTTGGTCAAGTAATTGTTGTGGGGCTGCCCTGTGAATTCAGGGATTCCTGCTTTTCATTCCATAGAAGGCAGTGATTTCATCTCCCCCAGACACCCCTGGTTGAGAACTACTGATGTAGTTGGGTCATTTCCTTGGCTCAGTCATTCTGTATCTGATGAAGCACAACCTGTGATCAGTTGTGTCCTTTAGACATTTTGTTTCCCGCATCATGTCATTGCAAGCTGTGATACTGTGAGAATTTGGATACTGGTCCTTCCATGCATGCGCATCATAACTTTATCTTCACTTAAAAACTTCCTATGCAAAACTCCAAGTTCCAAGGATTGGCAGGTAAATAGTGTGCACTCTCAAGTATCTATTGCCAGGTTCAACTTTCACCAACTGTAGCCAGTTCCATTTCAACTTACATTTCCTGTTTCCTCCTTCTGTGCATTGGAGTCAAATACTAAGTAGTATTTAATCTCTGGACATCACTGTATATGTCTAAGAATTTAAAAAAGATGTAAATTCTATGCCTGTCTTACTCTTTACTTCCACTAAATCCTTTACTGCAGCAAATATCAGTGCTCAGAAGCCCAGCTTTCTCGATTTTAAATAGGCTTTTAAAGTTTAGGGTGCACACAAGGCTCAGACGTTGTCATCCACTGTTTGTCCCTTAGGTTTCTCTCTCATGATTTAAAAATGATGGAAGATAGACCTAATTATTCCAGCCGTTTTAGGCAGACATTTCATGTGTTGTGCAGCCATCCTGGCAATTTGTCTCTGGAGATTGGCCTTCCTCTCCACTTTAAATGAAATATTAACCCTTTCTTCTCTCATCCGCCTTCTCCATCCATCATGCTGCCTTTGGGAGTTTGACTTTTCTCTTCCTTTCTGTCTGTTGAGTCCTCCCTCTTCTCTCTTTCCCCTGCGGTTAGTTTATGGACAACAGTAGGTTTCCATCACCCTTGAGTTTCCTTGATGGCATCTCTAGGTAGAGCTGTTTGACATGCTCCTCCTGTTTTCATTTTCCTTGAGCTGGCATTTGGGTCTAGATGCTTGGGATCAGTTTCATTTCACTGATGGTGTAGCTCTGGTTGGAGTGTTTCCTGTCAGCAGTCCCACAAACTCCGTGATGGCAGTGACCATCGTTGTTATCCTCTAGGTCTGTTACCATGTGTCTCCATCAGGTCAGTGGCTCCCCCTCTCCATGCCTTTGTAGCCTTGTGACCAAGGAAGGGCAGCGGGTGGTGAGTCCAATTGTCCAGATGCTGACCTCTGTCTCCTGTGAATAGGGCAGGTCTTCATTATGCTCTTGTTTCTGTGTCTAGCTCTGAGTGTTCCAGACTTGCAGGGCTGGCTGGAGAGGGGACATGGGCAGACAGGAAGTGAGCAATGGCCCATTTTAGCATAGGCTTAGTTTGAACCTGGGTAGTGTCTTTTATGCTGAGAGAATAGTAGATGTCCACTGTTGTTGTGGATGCTTTTACAGAGAGCAGTTTTGGTGCTGCATTCTCATTGTGATGGATGAAGACAGTTAGCCTCCTGTACAGGTAGTGAGCTGCTGGTCTGAGTGGTTGTCACTGTCCATGTGTGTTGTGCTGCCTTTAAGCATGAGTGTCTTGTTTCATCCTCTCCATACCTACTTGTTACCAGTTGTGACCCTCATACAACAGAAGAAGAAGTGGGTTAGAAGTGAAGTGGCTTACCCACTGTCCCTCAGTGAGAAGTGGCAGAGCTAAGTCTGGTTTTAGAGAATGGGTTTTATTTATCAGTTAAAAATGCCAACCTTTTTTGGACTCTTATTTTACGACATGGGTTACTACTTTGTTAAAATACCTGAATGGGCTAGGGAGATTGCTCAGTGGTCAGAGCACTTGTTCTTATAGAGGACCCAGATTTTGTTCCCAACACCCACATGGTAGTTTACAAGCATCTGTGACTCCAGTTCCAGAGAATCTGATGCCTTTTGACCTTTGAGGGCACCAGACATGCACAGAGTGCACTTTACATGCATTTAGGCAAAACACTCATATAAACTAAAATAAATAAATATTAAAATTTTGATGAAGCAACCAAAAGGAGGAAAGATTTATGTGGCTCACAGGTTAAGGGGACGTGGTCCATTGTGGTGGCACAGGAGGTTTGTGGCTGTGGTGGTGAGTTTGGGATGACTGGTTACATGGCATGGATAATAGGAAGGAGAGAGCCTGGGCTATAAACATGAAGCTTCCACCCCCACCTGGTGACCTCCTTCCTTCTGCTAGACTCCATCTAGTTCCACAGTCTCTCCAAATAGCCAGGGACCAAATGCTTCCACACATGAGCCTGTGAAGCTATTTCACGGTCAAACCATAACATTTACAATCTCAAGCTGTTAAAGGGTTAGGAGCTGGCTCAGTCGGTAAAGTACTTGGCATGCAAGCAAGGGGACCTGGGTTCAGATCTCTCCAACCACATAAAAAGCTGACACAGCAGCCTATGTCCGGAATCTGGTTCTGGGAATACAGAGACAGGTGGATCCCTGGAGCTCACTGCCCAGTCAATAAGTTCCAGGTTTAAATAAAAACAAACTGAGGAAAATCCCTGACATTGACTTCTGATCTCCACTCTCATACATGCGTGAACGTGTACACATACACACACACACACAAAGTTGGTAGTTTAAGAGGAATTCAGATAGGTATTAAGAAGAAGTTGAGAAAAGAAGATCTGTAGACCTACCCTTGCCCTGGCACCCTCATTTTCTGACCCATGAGCAGGAAGATTTGCTAGTTGGGTTTACTTTTCCAAGCTCCCTGCACATACTTGCACATTTCAGCCACTCGTGGTCTGCTGCATTGGTCTATGTATTGCTTCTCCCCATGCGACAAAACATCTTAGAGATGTTTCTGTCTGGCTTTACACACTGATCTATTTAAGAACAGACTTATGCTCGCTAGGGTGGGTGGTCCTATAGTCTAGCTGCCCAGAGCCCTGCTGAAGGATTTTGAAGTTTCTCTTTTTTGCTTTTGCAATGCTAGTAGAAGAGTATTCTTGTGAAATCCTCGTTCAGATGAAAAGGCCGTTGGGCAGCTGGTTGCTCAGGCAGGCCCAGAGCTCTTGCCATGCGGGGTTGTGGGGTGCTGGGAAAGCCTTCCTCTACCTGCTGCAGGACGGTTCTGGAAAATCTAGGGGCTAGCACCCTGCAAGAGGCCAGGATGCAGCAGGCTCCTGTATCTTGTTGAGTGTGCCCTAGAAAGTCACCCTCTTCTACAGATGTGTCATCTCCATGCCAAGGGTTTGGGATCCACTCACTTCTGTCGTGCTCTCCAAAGGCCCTCCTCCTCACACCTGAGCCCTTGCTTCTGCTGTCACCTCTGACCTGAAGGCCCCCTGGGCCTGGGACTCCACCCTGTCTATCTGTTATTTCTTCAGGGAACTTTCCTGATGCCTAGTCACAGGCAGATTTCCCTTCAGTGTGTTTCTGTGTCTCTCCCTTCCCATCCTAACAAGAGTCCCGTGAATTCATTGTTGATTGATCTCCCAAAGCAGGTACCTGGTGACTGTGGATCAGCTCATTAAATGAATGCATGAAATGTCACTGTTGGTAAGTGGCAATGTCCACCTGGGTCCCTGTGACAGACCAGCCCACTTCTTTGTCCCTGCTGCGCTTCTCGCTCAGACCTGAATGCTGTCCTAGGCAGCTGTAATTGTCATTACCTAGAAGGGTAGCAATGGCCAGAAGACAGCAGTGAGCAAAATGGTAATTAGGAGGCTGAAGTCTGCTGGGAGGAAGTGGCTGTTAAAACTGTGGCAGAGGAAGTGGTGGGGTTGACTCTTGACCTGCCACTGTTGCCTTAGGACTGCCCTTGCCACCTCCCCAGGGCACATGGCAGTCATAGAAGGAAGGAGGTGATTTTGTCTCCGTGTGAATTCAGCCTCTCAGTCTCTCTTGTCACCCTGTTGCCCTGATGGGATCCCTCCAGGCCTTCAGACTTGTCATGCTTCAGGACTCTGCTACACTTGGAACCCATTTCCTTTCCTGCTAACTGGAAACATGGCACAGGCCCTTTTCCTAGACACCACACTCCCCACATGATCGGTGCTCAGTGCATGTCTCAGTCAGTTGTCCTCACTGCACCTTTGTAAAGAACATGGCCACATAGACCAGGTGACAGTTAAGAAAAAGACAAGATCTAGGGCACAGATCCCTTCCATGGGTGTCATTGACAATATTATACATTTTGTTTTTTTTGTTTTTTTTTTTTTGGTTTTTTCGAGACAGGGTTTCTCTGTGTAGCTTTGCGCCTTTTCCTGGGACTCACTTGGTAGCCCAGGCTGGCCTCGAACTCACAGAGATCCGCCTGCCTCTGCCTCCCGAGTGCTGGGATTAAAGGCGTGCGCCACCACCGCCCGGCGACAATATTATACATTTTAAAGCTAAGTCACTCATTTGAAGGGGAAAGAATTTGACACTTGTGGGTGATTTGTTTCCTTCCTTTCTGTCTTAGGGTTACTATTGCTGTAATGAGACACCATGAC